ACTATGTGGAACAATTGTAGAAATTACTTTACAAAAATAAATAAATATGAAAAATAAAATAAATTAACATATTATATTTTGAAACAAATTAAAAATCATACTAATATTAAGCATAGTGGTAGTATAACACGAAAAGATTGATGGTCTTTATCTTATGGGCTGAGTTCTCGTGTCTCAATTGGACCAATTCAAATGTATACATATTAAACGTCCAAAAATAAAACACTCGTCATTATGTTACCCAGGCCAGCTGGGGGCAAAAAAATTATGTAACCCAGGTAGCACTTGCAGTTGGTAATCGATTTCCTATATATTATTATTACTATTATTATTTTATATTAAATCTTCCAATTATAGATAGCTTGGAATACAATGACTTGATATAATAATAACCAAGTTTATTACTTCAACTGTATATAATTTATTAATTATAATGTTCTACCCTATTTGATCACCAGCATCAATTCCCTAAATTATGAATATAACCAATGGTTGCACTCCTCCGCCATCAACGAAAACTCAAGCACACGAAAGTAGATAGGAACATTAATATTTCTTTTCTTTTTTCATCTTTGTTTTCTTATCTTTATTGCAGATTTAAATTTAAATGACACTAATTAACAGAGCATTCCAGAAATAATAAAGCATGCAAATTAACCCTATTGCATTCCACTACTAGAAGAACAAAACACAATGAATAATATTATACATCTTTGTGTTCGATTCAAGTACGAATTAAAAGGGTTACCTCACGCTCTAAACCAAAAAAAATAAAAACAAGTCGGTGTATTGCTTGGGTATAGGATCGATGGGCAAGAATTGAGTTCCCGTCTTCCCGAGTTGTGAAAAGTCTAGCTAAAATATATATAGTCGATGTAACTATTCAGTATCAAAACAGAAAGGTAAAATTTACATGTTCTAATCGATCGAATTTCTTGGATTTAAGGAGCAAGTCGCAGTCAATATGGTCCAAGCGGATTTTTTTTTTACAAAATTTTTTTTATTTCTCATTTGCCCATAAGAAAAAATATTAAAAAGTACGGAACAAAACAAACAGACCCCTGCCAAAGAGATCCTTGCCGTTGCCAGCCCTAGACTTAAAATTGAAGGTTTTGAGGCACACGTCTTTCAAGACGAAAAAAGAAAAATAAATTCTAAAGAGTAATTCAAAACAAAGCCATGTAATAAAAAGCCGGCTTAATCAGAGCTTGTGAAGCTGATAAGCTCGCCGGTGACGGCCAACCCCAGTTCCACCAAAGCTTGGAGGGTCTCCAAATAGTTTTTTTTTTTTTTGGTTAAAAAAATGGTTTCCACATTAACACTATAACTCAGGGATTCTGGTTTCGCTTTTACCAACTCTCTCACAATCTCTATTCGATCGTCCTCTCATAACTGCACGGTGTAGAGGAATTCTTCCTTCCTCATCACGAACCAAGCATGCTTCGTCAAAAACTTGAAGCAAGTGAAGTCCTTCACAATAATGTAGACATGACCCTCTGCAGACGCCTGTGCTTTGACAAGAGTCCAACTCAATGGCGAGTTTTGAGTTGTGCTTGAGAAGGGCCCTTGTAACTTAAACATGACCTAGCAATGATCATATGTGTAAAGGAGTTTCACTGAAGGCAGTTCTTGAAATCTTGAAGAGGATTAACGGGTTTTGCTGTACCAATGAGTTCAAAATTGATAACCCCCCCCCCCCAACAAAAAAGTGATGTCTCTCAAAGATCTCTCATTTTGCCGCTATCACATAAAGTTCTCATTTCTCTTGCACATATGATTCGTTTATACGCTACTTACTATACACACACACACATTATTATGATGAAAAATAACTTAGGTACTTATTATGTGAATTTCAACTCATTAAAACAAAAATTACAATACTCTGATCATTAATTATATGCTCTAAGATCATAAAAAAATAAATTTCACGATTATAACTGGACAACTAGAACAAGCAATACAGCTCAGGCCATACAAGACCACGGGTAACGAAAGGATGAGATTTCTTCTCTAGCACAAAACATTTGACGATGAGATCGATAAACTTATTGAATGAAGCAACGAAGTGGGTTAATTAAAGCTTGAAAGGTAATTGATATAACGGTTGATCACCAGACTCAGATTTCTTCGCATATCTTATACCCACTAATCATCCTTATATTTAAACCAAATTCCTATTTATTTTAAAATCTTTATGAAACAATTTCTCTTCCAACATTTTGGCACTTTGTTTCCGGTACTGGGCGTGTATGGGTTTTATCAATTCTCCTTTCTTCCCTATTTTGATGCCAAATGCTCCTAAACATGACTTCTACACAAACACATCTTAGTTTGACAGAAAACTTTAATTAATCAGTAGATTGAGATGACAATAATTTTAAATCATCCAAATATAATCTTGTTACAAAGTACAAGCTTAGAACAGATCAGATCTAAATATATAAGAGAAACATGTAACCATGATATACCATGAATTATGATCCTAAAAGCAACCCATGCCACTTGTGACCGGCCAGACAATGAATAGCATTAGTTGAAATGAGATATATAAAGAAACAGCATCAACTTTCTCTAATTCCACATGTCAACAGCTTTCTGATTAGTCTGGCACATTTCTTCACGATCCAAATTATAAACCGCAGTGTGATTAACACAACAATCAGCACACGCAATCCAGACCAGGCCCAAATTGAGGCTTCAAGGGTGGTCCAACCTGCTTTATTATTCCCAAGAAAATGGCTTGGCATCACCATACAAAAAGCAGTTAAGTAGGCAAGGGCTAGGGTTGTGAGAGTTGATGCCCATGCCCATGGATAAAAGCCATAGCAAAGCGTTGTTCTTCATAGGAACTCCACTCACAAGCAAGAAGGTGACGCTAAGCGATGAAATGAAAGAGATAGTGATGTAAATTACATACTCCAAAAGCAGATCTTGGAAACTAAAAGATGAGACAGCTTCCCCAGGACGATAAGACACGTTGTTAGGAAGGATAGTGCACTTTAGGGCTTCAATATTGGATGAGCCTTGAGATAAACCTTGTTGGATGAAGCCACCAGGTGGGTTAATTAATGATTGAAATGTTATGGTGGCTATAACAGTAGACACTAAACTCAGATTTCCCCTCATTTCTGCTACCCAGTCACCCTTTTGTTTGAACCAACCCCCAATCCATTTCGAAATCCTTAGGAAGCAGTTTCTCTTCTTTTGATTTCAAGGTTTTGGTCTTGCAATTGGTGTTGACGAGTGTGAATGCGTGTGGATTTCGTTCTTCTCTGTTCTGACTCTAGAATAGTCCATCAGCATGACTTGTATTTCTATGGTTTTAAAATGTTTTGCACTACGTTTAAGGATGTCATAGGCTGTGAGGCCTATGCTGTTCTTCAAGCTTGTCATTTCTATTACTTTTGGGATTGATAGGAGGTACCTTGTAGTCTGAAATAATAAACTTGCATGTTAATATATTGTGGAAAGTGTCATGATTTTGGGGTAAAACAAATTAGACCCAATAATTCACGAAAAGTATAACCCGTTTACGTAACAAGAAAACTCTTTATATCAAGAATATCGTACATCAACTTGCTTGGACGCGACTGCTAAATGGAAACCGGTGTTGCCCACTCCATCAGAAATCGTAAAGTTAAGAAGCCCCCCATAAATGGCAAGTTCCAATTCCACCAAACCCTTGAGAGTCTCCAAATGATTGTGCATCACACACAAGTGAAATACAGTGTTTCCATTATCAAGAAAACTCAGACTCAGGCTTCGCCATGACCAACTCTTTCACAACCTCTATTCTGCCTTTGATAACTGCATAGTGCAAAGGAATTTTGCCCTCTTCATTAGGAAACAAGCATGGGTTGTTAACTTCAAGCAATTTCTTTACGATGTCGATGTGCCGTTCTGCAAAAGCCAAGTGGAGGGGTGTGTTCTCGGAAGAGTCAACCTCAATGGCTAGTTTGGGTTTGTGCGCGAGAAGCGCCTTGGTGAATTCAAGGTGGCCAGGTGTCAAGACTCTCCTTTATACACCAATATAATTGTTTTATTTAATCTCGAATCATTAAAAGCTAGGTTCCAATCCTTGGGAAGACAATTTTATTTTTTTAGTTCCCAAATACAAAGTCTGATCCTGTTCAAAGAATGAGATTTTCTGAAAAGTTTTAAACCTTTCAAAATTCACTTTCAAGTAACCTGTCTAGTGGTTCAAGTACCCACTGTAACCCTTTCATAAAAACGGTAAAAACCGTCTTAAGACCCATGGTTCGTATTCAACCATCGAACCCATTCTTTTTCTATCCAACCTTTTAGATCCCATATCAAATCAATTATAGCCAGTAGGATCTAACATTCAACATTCTAGCCACAGACTCCTACAACGAGTTACATATACAGATACATAATTTTAGATAAAACAATATCTATATCAAAATATTGATCAATTCCTTCAATAGCAGTTACCATGGTTTATCTGCCCTTAGTCACCTCCTTATGGAGGAATATTTACATACCACAATAGATATACAATATATCTTCACTTCAAAATAAGATGCATTTTAAGCAAAATATATATACAAAAGATCACCAACTTCCTGCACCTTCAAACTCCACCGATCACTACTCCCTTGCCCTTAGGAGTACTTGCTCTTGCTGTATTACATGGAAGAAGGGGTGAGATTCTAAAGAATCTCAGTAGTAACAATTTCCTTCACGTAATCATACAAGATCACAAACAACATGCTACATAGGCCAAAGAGAACAACACCTTGCATCCAAATATAATCAATGATGCACATACACCATACACCCATATAGCCAATCGCTATCTATTGCACCCACATTCCAAAATAAATGGAAACCAGCGCATATTGTCATGACAATTATTATCATGCAAAGGCAACTTACATGTTCTCATGCACAATCAGCATAAAGGCACATCCAAACATGTGGCAATCAATACACAATCACATATAAGGAAAAGAGTTACTGCCTTTTGCTTTTTCTTCTGTACTAACTTCCCCTTGCTTCTTCCTTGGCTCCCTTCTTAATGGACTTGAACAAATATCAAATCCTGTAAATTATATAGGGAGTGGTAGATTAATATATATACATACATATATATAAGTATATGTAAAGTAGATTATTTATTCCAATTCTTTCAAAAATGAATATGTACCCTGGAATATTTTCAAGATCCTACTTAATATTTATAACAGTAACAACGCTTCACCCATACTGTCTTGAAATCCCAGCTTCATAAACATCATTCTATCCACTACTTTAATGTCCCAAATCTGGATTTTGCCTTCCCAAATCAATATTCAACATTAAAATGTATTAAAGAATGAGTACTCAATTAATTTCAACAACTCTTCCTAATCTATAGAATTTTCCAGAATTATAAATATTTAAAGCATTAACTCAATGCCAACGTTTCCTAGCATATCCACAAAATTTTCATCAATTTCTATCTTCAAAAATTTCAGATTCTCACACGCATAACCAGCCACACACATATATAAATCTATCCACAAACTTTTTGACCATCTCCCTTTCCACTAAATCCAACGGGCCCACTTCTCTTACACGACAATTTCACTTTCAACCACAACATATTCATACAGATACACACTTCCAAAATATTCCTTTATGTCTTCACTTTGGGCTTTAATCATCTCTCTTCCTCTCCTACATATCACGCTACATTGAACAGCAAATCTGAAAATTTTTCCAGATACCAAGTGTACTTCCAAACCAGTCACCGAAATCTCAAAAAAGAAAGAGTAAACATCATGCCATCGCGCGCGCGCGCGCACACACACACATATATCTACATCACAACATCATCTTCTCTTTCATAAAACCTAACGCTCACACCAGAAAAGCAGAACAGGGCCTCGATTCAAACATTCCAAAAGCAAATCAACAACATATACAACCCCATAACTTACTTGATCAAGCCTCTATCTACACTTTACTACTTTTGTTACATTTAGATACTGATTTTTCCTCCATAACCCAGAGTTTTAAATTGCCATTTCCTCTTCTAAAGTTGCAACGGTTGAGAGAAAGAAGAGTAGGAGAATGTTCACAAGGCTTACCTTGCTTGATTTCCTCCTTTGAACGAACCGATCGTCTCCTTCAATCACCTCCTCTTCTTCCTCGTTCTTCCCCTAGTCCACCGTCTCTCTCTTGCTCTGTTTCAGTCGTGCAGCAGGGGAAAATAAGAAGGGAGAAGATGTTAGGGTAGATTAAGTCGGTGAGGGGTGTAGAATGACTATTATACCCTTTGGTCTTTATTTTCCCTTCAATTTGATCATTCTCTATTTTTCCAGGATAATCAGATGATTCCAGAAATCAAACCTGGATATTTTATATGAATTTTCTTCTTCCATTAGCTTTAGTCCATGAAATAATTTTCCTAAAAATTATCCTCTAACTATTTTTCCTTGAATTTCCAAGAAAATAGGTCCTAAATTCCTGAAATTAACTTTATAATTCTTTAAACCATATTTTAAAGGTCTCAATCTCAACAATTTCTCTAAAAATTTCTCCTTCATCATGCTTTACTCAAATCCATAAAATTTGGGATATTACACCAGGCAAATCTGATATGTGTAAGGGAGTTTCGTTGAAGCCACTTTGTGAGATCCTGTGGAGGATTAATGGTTCTTTCTGTAAAAATGAGTTCAAAGTTGATACAGACCCTTTGCGTGATGCTTCATAAAGAACGCTCAATCTGTTCTTCACCATGAGAAGTCCCCACTTTGATTATTATAGTCTCTCTTGCGTGAATGCGGAAGTTGTAAGCATTCTTCATTATATATAGACACATCATTTTGAAAGAATCTGTCAAAGTATGTTGCGTACGATTGCTTAATGTTCAACTTTCTGTTGAATTATGTAAAACCGTCGTCCACACGACTCAGTTTGTGAAAGTAACATCACATGATATGAACAATAAATCAATACTTTATCGGCAATGCTATTTGAAAATATCGTTTTCCAAATTTTCACCTGTGAATTTCATCATTACACAAATAATACTCTCATCACCCAATTAACCTTCAATCCAAATATATCACACCTGGAGCTGTATTTCTTTAGGCCGATTCGGACCAATTCGACATTTGTTTTTCTTGGGGGAAAAAAACGGTAGAAGAGGATAAACATATTAAAAGTAATGAAGTTTTTCACTTATTACATCATACACGGATCGATTTAAATTATGCATAGGTTTTAAAATTGTCAAGAGTTTAATTATTTTCATGCTTATACTAATAATATTAATAAATAATTGTCCTCAGAACAGGAGTACAGTTTGGATTTGCTGAATGGGATTATTTAATTCAAGAGTTCTGCTTTGGCACATATTATATGTGAAGAAGCTACAACATATTTTAATCAGTCCCAACGATTTAAAGATGATAATTTGAGATGCTTCCAATGCGCTATGGAGGGATGTCTGACCTTCAATTTGGTCCTCCATACAAGACTCCAATTCACTTTGTCTATCATATTTATCTATTTTTTTCAAGGTAGTTTTTGTAGTAGTTGCACGTATTAAATGTTTCATCAAATGATTTTGATGTGCAATGGTATTTTAGAGAAGACAATACCTATTTGTTACAAACAAGTAACTTAACTAATTTTTTTAATCTATTCAAATTAGTCAACTAGCTTTTATATTAAGAACTGGAGGTAGTAAATGGCTAGCACCTACAACTTCCAGTTATAATCATTAATCATGCAGAGTTGAACGACAGAAAAATTGATAATGTGACAACAATAGTCATCCTTGTTTATTTGTTTATTAGCTTCCGCAAGTATTCGATCCCTACAAACGTACTGCAAAATTGCCCCCCCACAGTCAGTTATAGCCAATATTCAAGAGAATACACGCACGCACATATAAGAATGGGAGATGGGATTATGTTGCAGACGCAAACTCAAATTCACTAGATCTGTAAACAAGTTCAAGGCTATAATTGTTGAATATATGCAAATACCCATACGGTAGTTTGGACACGGTTGACTTTAATTTTTAAAGTTTATGCAAATATACCTTATCGATGTACGTGGCCTTCTGCAGTGGCTAAGTGGAGAGGTTGCTTCGTGAAAATAATTGATTTAAAAATCTACTTTCGGAAACTTATGACAATAATCGAGTTATTTCTGGAGTTTAAGGATATTAAAAAAATTAGTTAGTAATTTGTAACAAATAAATGTTAGTTTTTGTTAAATGCCCTTGTTAATTATTAGCATTTGAATTATCTCATGATGGAAACTTTTAACAAGTACAATCAATAGAGATATTTTGAAGAGAAAATTATAAATTTTAAAAACAAAATAAATTGAGATATTATATTATCTTTTATCTAATTTTTACATGAAGAACGAGAGCTAGTTTTAGGAAAAATGCTTATAAAAGCAATTATTTTACGTGAAATGAAGACAAGTCGGAGAGGAAAGGTTCCGGTTGCAGAATTAACAAGATGTTTGGGAGCGTTTTGTTGAATAAATGCTTTTTAAATTTAGAAATAATATGTGTGTGTGTGTGTGTGTGTGTAGGAGGTTGGCAAAATAAATACATATGAGCATTTTATCATCTTAAAGCTGATCATCCGGTGAGGGGGACTTAAGATTTTACTTAAGATTTTTTTCAAAAAAAAAAAGATCATAGGGACAACATAATTATTTTGTCAAATTATAAAATTCATATTTGGTTATGTATAATGATTAAAAAAAATATTTCTCTTATTCAAGTGACTATTTGAGAATTTTTTTTTTAAATTCAACAATCATTTTTCTGTCAATTTTCCTTATTTGCTACTACTATTATTATAACTAAACACAAAATAGTTTAAATATTAATTTTATAAATCGCTACACTACAAATCATTTTTATTAAATTTAATTATAAAAATCGAAAAATCACTTATATTTTAATATTAAATAAACGGGATCTAAATTGCCTATACCGTTGACTTGTAATTTTCTAAAGGAATACATTTTCTTTCTTTGTAATAAAAATCAAAAGCAAATTTTATAGAACTACTTACACCCGATCACTTAGGGTTAGGTCAGGCGAAAATAATAAGGTAAATTAAAGAGTGAACAGAGATTAAGGAATTAAACCCTCCTAATGTAAAATATCCCCGCTCGTTCTTACAACTTTCTTAATATGCACTTGGCATCTTGCATATACAATTCCTAAGAGGGTTTAATTAATGAAGCAAAGTGATATACTCGAGCAAGCGGGACGTGGTGATCTCCGAAGTAGATATTGGGTCCGTTTGGATCAACGATTGAAAAAGTAACTTATTGAAAAAGTAGCTTATGAAGAAGTGAAGTTGGGTAAAAGCTAAATTGGATAAGTTAAGGGTGTGTTTGGGATCACGGTAAGGACTCCAAACTGGCTTTTTCACAGGTAAAAGTAGCTTTTTGTTTAAAAGAGATGTTTGAATTCATTGTGAAGAGAGATGGACTTATACCAGAAACGGACTTTTTTTTCGGAAGCTCTTGCTTTCAGCTTCTCCACTACGAGTGGTAAAAAAAAAAACAAAATTCTCCACTACACATTTCGTGGGGCCCATGAGTGAGAGAGGAGAGAGAATGCATGATGTGAGTTCTTTTTTTTCCTCTTTAAATCCAGCCAATTGGTTTTTAATATTAAAAAAATTATTTTTTGAATAATAAAATCATTTTTTTAAAAATAAATTTATTATTCTTTAAAAAATAGTTATTTTATTTTTATAATTTTAATTTTAATGTTACAATTATCACATTATAAACATATAATATAAATATATGCTATTTAATAAAAATTCATGTCCTTTTAAATCATTTTAGATCCAAACTTACTTTTACATTTATCATCCAAACAAGTTCCAACTTCTCAAACTGACTTTTTTTCAAAACCCAATCCAAATATAAAGCACATTACCCTATCTGACTTTTACTCAATTTGGCTTATGTAAAAGTCAGATTGAAAAAAAGTTACTTCTGTCACTGCTATCCCAAACACACCCTAAATTGTGTTTGGATTAGAGTTCAAAAAAGCTCATTTGTAAAAGTGATGTTGGTAAAAGGTTGTTTGGATTATAGTTGAGTAAAAGTAAGTTTGGTTATAAAATGACCAAAATAGATATGAGTTTTAATAAATAATAAAATATGATAAAAAGAAATGATTTCACAAAACACAATGAAATTAAAATAATTTAATATGAAGAAGTCAAATTTAATAAGTGAATTAAATTTTAAATTTTTAGAGAAATCATGAAAAATATTTTAAATATAAAGTGAAAGATAAAAAAAAGAATTGAGATAAAAATATTTTAAATATTTCGAATACTACTTCTAGTACTCCATGAATATACCAACTTGTTTTTTAATTTTATGTCATGTCCTGTCATTAAATGCTTGAAAATCTTCAAAGAGGCTCCAGAGGGTCAATATGGTCACAATGGCACAAGGACTCGCAGCTCGTGGGTGACTACTCTGAATAAAGAAAACAAGTGAAGAACTCACAGGAAAATAATTGTTAGAAGGGAGAGAAAGAGGGAATAAAATATGTCTAACACCTCATAACAGTAATAAGCTCTTCATATTTGAAAAATAAACTTCATTCTCTGGCTTATTCTGAACGCACAGTGAGGTAGCTTATTTTTTCATAAGCCCAATACAATGTAAGCTCTTCCAAACAACACCTTCATTTTGAATCAGGCTTCTCCCTATTTTAAGCCACGTTTGGGCCCGCAAATGCTGACTCAAACAGGCTCACTCTTCTAGTTATTAATATAAGACTTATTTAACTAATTTGCTTAGATTAAGAAAATTATGTAAGTTAATTCAATTATGATAAATTTGACATGTTGCTCATAAAATACTCTAATCTTCTTCGTTTGCTTTCCTTTTAAATCAAACAAGATATCATTAAAATTATTTTCTTTCCATCCAATCAATCCTTCATCTAGTCAACATCGAGATTATCAAGATATCTCCCTTCCTCTCCCTCCTGTCAAGCCAAACAAACATATTTTCCGCACAAAATGTTCAGTTACCCTATATTTGGTACAAGAAAAATAAAAGGAAGGGGAGAGAAGAAAAAATCTTAATGGGTTCAATCTAAATAATTGAAGAAGTAGAGTTATAAAATTTTAATAAATATACGATGTAACATTAAAAAAAA